TTTTTTCTTTCGAGAATACATCTTATGATTTATATTGGGAACACATAGGAAAATGGGATTTATGTTGTAAGATTAAGTCTTCATAATCTATTTTGTTAGAAAGTCTCTATTCATTAAAGGAAGAGTTGCTATAATTACTGAATGGTGCTCTTTTAACAGTTTTTGTGAAGGAAGAATGAAGAATGTCAGTAGATATTTAATAAACACAGGTAGAAGTTAGTATCATATGTATTGAGTAAGACAGCCTTGCGTTAAAATCCAGTAAAAACTGGTTTTACCATTTGATTTCAGTGAGTTACCATATGTTTGAGTGTCCTCATATGTGAAATAGGGCTTTGAGGAATTGTGTGAAGTGCCTGGCAGATAGTAGTCAGTAATTGTTGGCAGCCTTTTTCTCTGGTCTTAAATACATATTTGAAAGAACAAAACACTTTTAAGATTTTTTGATATATTGAATATTGATTCACAGGAGAGTGCGGTGGAAGAATTCCTAGAGAGTTTAAAAACCTAGAAATTAATGTGAGTTGAAACACTGATCCTTATAAAAAGAATCCCTCCCCATATACAAAAATTAACTCAAGATGGATTAAAGACTTCAGTGTTACACCTGAAATCATAAAAGTCCTAGAAGAAAATCTAGGAGAAACTCTTAAGGACATCAGCCTAGGCAAATAATTTATGGCTAAAACCCCAGAAGCAAATGCAACTAAAACAAAATTAAATAAGTGGGGCTTAATTAAACTAAAAAGCTTCTGCACAGCAAAAGAAATAATCAACAGAGCAAATAGGCAACTTGCCGAATGGTAGAAGATATTTGCAAACTATGTATCTGACAAAGGACTAATAGCCAGAATCTACAAAGAACTTAAACAAATCAGCAAGAAAAATACAAATAACCCCATTAAAAAATGGGCAAGTGACCTGGCACACTGACTCATGCCTATAATACCTGCACTTTGGGAGACTGAGGTGAGAGGATTGCCTGAGCCTACGGGTTCAAGACCAGCCTGGGCAACTTGGGGAGACCTTATCTCTACAATGAATCAAAAAATCAACCAGGTGTGGTGGTGTGTCTTGTAGTTCCAGCTACTTGGAAGGCTGAGGTTGAAGGATCATCTGAGCCCAGCAGGTCAAGGCTGCAGTGGCCATGAGCGTGTCACTGCACTCCAGCCTGGGTGACAGAGTAAGACTCCGACTCAAAAAAACCCCAACATGAACAGACATCTCTCAAAAGAAGATATACAAATGGCAAAAAAATATGAAAAAATTCTCAATATCACTCATCATCAGGGAAATGCAAATTAAAATCACCTTATATCAGTCAGAATGGCCATCAAAAAACAATAGATGCTGGCATGAATGTGGAGAAAAAGGAACACTTAGATAATGTTGATGGGAGTGTAAATTAGTACAGCCTCTATGGAATGCAGTATGGAGATTACTCAAAGAACTAAAAGATCTACCATTCAATCTAGCAATTCTACTACTAGGTATCTATTCTAAGGAACAGATTTCATTGTAAAACAAAGACACCTATACCCACATGTTCATCACAGCATTGTTCACAATAGCAAAGATGTGGAATCAACCTAAATGCCCATCAACAGATCAGTGGATAATGAAATGGGGCATATATATGCCATGGATTCCTACACAGCCATTAAAAAGAATGAAATCATGTCCTTTGTAGCAACACAGACGGAGCTGGAGATCATCATCCTAAGTAAACCGATTCAGAAACAGAAAACTAAGTACTACGTGTTCTCACTCATGTGAGAGGTAAACACGAGGATGGAAATCACAAACACTGACCAGGGTTCAGAAACGACCTGCGGGGGCACAGTGCTCACTCCCTGGGGAATGGGCACCCTGAGACCCGCTCCCCGCCACTGCACAGTATGTCCATGTGACGGATATGCACACGTACCCCAAATCTAAAATTTAAAAATAAATAAAAATAATCCATATAACTTATAGAATTGCTTTCTTAGAATTTGAAGTACAGCTAGGAAAGATTATAATTATACATATTTTCTTTAAATAAAAGGAAAGAATTTAAATTTCAACAGAGGCAGATAACCCATTCAGAGATGATAGACCATGGGTAGATTTTTCTTTCATCTTTTTCCTCCACTGTGTCAAAAATGTGTTATGTTTGTTTTTCAGATAGCATCTTACTTTGCCAGTGTTTCTACTTTATCCAAATGAAGTAGCTGATGTATTAACAGCAGAACTGAAGTAATATTTAAACTGATTTGTATTTTAAAAGTATGCACCCGGGGGCAAAAAATAAGATTGTCTATCACTTTGAGTATCTTTTTGTATGGTAAGTCATTTCATGAATCTGACAAATTAGTATGTAATGTTTTTAAAATTGTTGTGATCACACTGGACTCAGAGATACAAATATCTTCTGCCAGATTATTTACTATTTTGTATTATCACTGTATATTTGGAATCAGATTGTTCAAATGCTGCCACACTTGCTAGTTTAACAGCCCTCGGCAAAATATACATGGATTGGATTTAATTACTGGAAATAATTATTTAATTATTGTTAGGTTTACATGTAGTAAATATACTTAAAAAGAAACTGTATATCAATAATGAATTTTAAAACAGGCCATGTGTTTAAAAAGCAGTAAGTGTTAGTACATAACATGAATTCCATGACCAAGTATAAACAGTAGCATAAATAGACGACAGGGCAAGAGTGGTTTTTGTAATCTGCTTGCAGCTACAACTCCTTTTCCTGTCAAGTTAAAAATAAGACAAACGCTTGTGTGAAAGAAAGAACAAAGGAAATTGTTGATGCCTTAATAACATTTTTAATCTGATTAAAGTGATGGCAGATTTACAGACATATAGATCACTGTGTTAAAGCTTTAGCTTAGTTTCGTCTCGTTTTTTGTCTTACACTCTGTGTTCTCAAGCTGTTGATTTCTGTCTTGCTGTGCCTATCTAGATGAATTTATTTATGATGAGCAATTTTTCTGTTTCTGTACAATTTAGGGAGTTATTTATAAAATCAAATTTGTGGCCGGGCATGGTAGCTCATGCCTGTAATCCCAGCACTTTGGGAGGCTGAGGTGAGAGGATTGCCTGAGCCCATGCGTTCAAGACCAGCCTGGGCAACTTGGTGAGAGCTCATCTCTACAATAAGTAAAAAAATTAGTCAGGCATGGTGGAGAGTTTCTTTAGTTCCAGCTACTTGGAAAGCTGAGGCAGAAGGATCGCCTGAGCCCAGCAGGTCGAGACTGCAGTGGCCGTGAGCATGCCACTGCACTCCTGCCTGGGTAACAGAGTGAGACTCCAACCTGGGGGGGAAAAAATCAAGTTTGTTATGCTTTTCTCAAACTGCGCAAAGGAGTATACTCTTTCTTATTTCTTTAACAATGAAGAGATCATATAATGAAGTTGATTTGTTTGCATATAATTTTAAAAATCAAGATGAAATACACTGAAGATTTGGTTTTTATCCTTTATTGGTTTCTCTTATTAGTTTGTTGATTATCTCTTATCAGACATACACATGTAATTCTTATATCGTAAAACATACAGTCCTGGGGATTATTTAATGTACTTCAGACAAGTAAGCAGCTGTAATTCACTTAGACATTGCTTTAAATCAGATTTTCTAAACTGGAATTATGAGAATGAACTTCAGTGCTGATAATGGTCCTTCATTACATGCAGATTAGAGTATGTATTTTCAGGAGGAGAAATACCTTCACTTTTTTTCTTGGAATAACAGATTTCTTTACTGGCAATATGAGGACTTTATAGCACATTGTGTTTGGCCTCAGCTTTCTTCTTTTACTTTATTTTACTGTGAAGATGGGAGGTACAAGCCAGGATCAGGTGCATGAGTGATCTCTGTGCAGCTGGGGTTTGGGCCTCTGACTGATCCTCACTTCCCCTGGTGTAGGGCCAGAGACCCTTTGTGTTGTTACGTACCCCGCTCCTCCCCTGGAAGTGCCCCTTGAGCTGTTGTGATAAACGTTCAGGCCCCCCCCTTATGAGTGAGAATTTGTGGCCTTTGGCTCTTTGTTTCTGTGGTAGATCCAGTTTGCTTGAAGTCCATGATTTTGCCCTTCTTTATAGTTGTGTAGTACTCCGTAGTGTGCACATACCACATGTTCTTTATCTGGTCAACTTTTGCTGGTTGGTTCCATGTTTTGCTGTTGTGAATAGTGTGGCAATAAACGTGTGTGCAGGTGTCTTTTTTTGTAGAATGATTTGTATGCCTCTGGGTGTATCCCCAGAAGGGGGATTGCCGGATCGTATGGAAGGTCAGTTTCTAGTTCCTTTAGAAATCGCCACACTGCTTTCCATAGTGGTTGAACTAATTTGCACTCCCACAAACAGTGTAGAAGTATTCCCTTTTCTCCACAGCCCCGCCAGTATCTGTTGTTTTTTGATTTATTACGATGACCATCCTTACTGTGATGTTAGGTGGTAATCTCAATGTGGTTTTGATTTGCATTTCTCTGATGATTAATGACTGTAAGGGGGGAATGTAAGTCATTCCCACAAAAATAAGGGTAGGAACCATGACTTTGTATAGAAAAAATCCCCAAATATTTTAGTGATCCAGATTATAAGAAACAAAAACAGAGGCCAGGTGTGGTGGCTCAAACCTGTTATCCCAGCACCTTGGGAGGCTGAGGTGAAAGGACTGCCTGAACCCACAGCTTCGAGACCCGCCTGGGCAACTTGACGAGACCTCATCTCTACAATAAATCAAAAAATTAGCCAGGTGTGGTAGCGCATGCCTGTAGTTCTGGCTACTTGGAGGGCTAAGGCGGAAGGATCACAGGTTGATGCTTGGGTGGCCATGCATGTGCTACTGCACTCCAGCGTGGGCAACTCCAACTCGAAAGAAAGAAAGAAAGTAAAATGAATTATAGATATAGTAGTTTTAAAATGTAGATGATACCACGGAAGATGTTTTATCAATCTCATTATCTATTTGCTTATGCTCTTTTTACTTCATGCAGATGGAGGGAGCGAGGAACCACCGGATCGAAGACAGTCAAGTGTAGACTCTCGCCAAAGCCGCTCTGGGCAAGGTACATTTTTGTCAAATTGATCATTAATTTTTTTTTTTAAGGAAGAAAGATTTATTGAGAGAACAAAAAAGCTCCCACAGTGGGAGGGGACCCAAGGGGGTTGACAAATGTCATATATTCCTTTATAGTACTTAACTTGGTGACTGGGGTGTTGGCAAGGTCCAATTTAGATATTCTGGTTTCTCATTTAGAATTTAAATGATATCTCTAAATTCTATATGAAAGCGTTTATTCAAGATAGGAGAAAATGAAACTTGGCCTAGTGTCATTTTTTAACTGATACTAAAGTTTTAAGTAAGTTTGAAGCGTTAGGGTATATGTCTGGATATCACTTTGGGGATGTAATCAAAAGTACATTCTTAACCACAGTGTTTCTTGGAATATCATCACACAATAGTTTTTCTTTACTTCATCAGTGTAGTATTTGTTGTCTTAGCGCTCTCAAAAGAAATGGTTTTTATTTGTAATTGCTGTATTATTTTAGGTTCTTCTTAGTTTCCTTTTCCATTTAAACTTTATTATCATAGACTTTTGATTAGTTTTTGAAGGAACAACTTCAAAACTAGGTTAAAAACATTCTGAGTCAGATTGGCCTTTCCTAACTAACTTATTTAAAAATTGTATGACTGCCAGCTCTACATTCCTTTTTCTTTGTAGTACTTATCACTTTCCTTCTTATTCTGTTGGTTTTCTCTGTTCCATGCTAGAGCGGATATTCTGTGATAGCAGAGATATTTGTCTGTTTTGCTTATCACCGTGTCTACAGTGTCAGGAATAATACCTGGTATACAGTAGTAACCAAATAAATGCTGTTGAACAAATGAATTGGTCTCTAAGAGAAGAGACTGAGAATGCAAAGTGATGGATACATCCCAAAATTTCAAGCACTCATTTACTGCGTTTGATTTTCAGAGAATCTTTAGTAGCATAAAATAAAATAAAACTTGGACTTACAAATTGTGCAGTTTGTAATCCTATAAAAGCTCCAGGTTCATTTACACTGTCTATAATCATGTTCTTTTTTTTCCCCAACTTTACTCTTCCCAAGTTTTAGAGCTGTACCATATTCACAAAATTCTTTGTTGCAGAATAAAAAGGGGAATTAATATACTTAGGTTGATTTTGAAATTTTAACTTGTACTTAATCTTTCTTAAATAATAAGCATGTATTATGAGTATATTAGGAATTTTTCTACATTTTCACTCTTTCTGTGTGTGTGTGTGTAAAAGAGTAATTAAGAAAAATGGGATCATGTATGTAAAACCCTAAAAATAAATTTATTACAAAAATTGTAGTAATTACTAAATGTCTTTAATTTTTATTAAATATCACAGATGTACATGTGTGAAATAAGCAATTTACCTAATTCTCTCTGAGCTTTGCCAGTTAAAGTATTTTTCAAATTAATAAGCATAATTTAAAGTTTATTAGCAAACACTAAACTTCAAATGACAAAAAAACAGATTTCTATGATCCAGAGCACAGCTACCTGATTTATTTGAAGTCACCAGAAATTGTATCATTATCTCAGAGTGACTTAATAGTAAAAGCATGTTTCTTACTTCTTAGAGATTTTATTTGTAATGTCTCCTTATTCGAAAGAAAGAAAAAGTAAACCATCTGAGTTAAAATGAATGCAAACAGTATTATCAGGAGCAAAAGATGAATGAACATACACTTATACTTTTTTTAGCATATTTTTTATTTTAAAATCGTGGAGTACAGTTAAGGGTTAGGTATACAAATATTCATTGCACTTATACTTTTTTATTTTAAAGACATGGGGTTCAGTTCAGGATTAGGCACATAAGTGGTCATCGTACAGGTAAAGTTTGGGCCTCCTTTGGGTCCCCACTTTGCCTGGTTTGAGGTCAGGCACCTTTATTGCTATTATGTTCCCTTTCCTCTCTCCACTGGCAGTTTCCCACTACTGCCAATCCTTTCTTATAGTATTACGGTAAATATTCAGGGTCCACTTATGAGTGAGAACATGTCATACTCAGATCTTTGTTTCTGTGTTAGATCACTGAGTATTATAGTCTCTAAATCCATCCAAGTTGCTGTGAAGTCCATAATTTTGTCCTTCTTTATGGCTGTGCAATATTCCATCATGTATATATACCACATTTTAAAAATCTAGTCCACTTTTGATGTGCAGCATGGTTTTTTCCATGTTTTTGCTATTGATACACTTATACTTTTGCTGCTTCCAGAAACCCACTGAAAAAAGATCAGTAAAGGGGGATTGGAGAGGAGACAATGTCAACACAGTTTTAGAAACTGGACAGTATATGAATAATTGAAAACAACTCTAAAGTCAGTACCATAGGAAATCCACAAAACAACCTCCAGAAGCCTTAAAAAGCTCCAGAGTGACAGCATGTGGAAATAGAGATGAAATGAGGATTGGTTGAAAGCAGATGAGGAGGAAGCATTTGCTTCCGGGGACCTCTACCTCGAAATGCCCTAACCAGTCACCTGGGCAAGTGCCCAGCTCCCACCCCTAGCAATGACGGAAGCTCAAAATTTATTGTCTGGAGAGGGGGAAAGACAGAAACTCTCTAGCCTGGAAGACACAGGCATAGCTGAGGGCAGGAGTCTTATGCTAAAAATTGGAGAATTGGGTTCCGGATATCCTTCTCCTAATTTTGTCCCGCTGGGCTCCCAGAATACTAGCAGTTAAGCCTTTATAGTCCAGGAATGAGGTTGAAAAAGTCTTTCCTGGAGAATTTGACAACAAATAAAGTTGAAAGAAGAAAGGAAAAAAAAATGCAGTCATCAGAGACTCCTTAAATAAACAGTCTAGCTAGATCATTCCATGTATCAAAGCTGCCAGTCAGCTTTTTAGCCCTCCACCTATAAACGTGAACAGCTAATCAAGGATTACTAGATATTTGAAGAATTCCTCTGCTGTATGAAAGATAGAAATGAAAATAAACAAACTAAAACACGTTGGAGAGAACATAAATTTTGTAGAGGAAAATTACAGAACTATTATTATCCTCAGGAATAAGAGAAAATAATGCAACCAAGAAGCAAGAAGGAGGTACTGTGAAAGAGTGATGGTTTTTTTTAAAAGGCTCTTAAATATTGAAATTCTAATAGTAGAAATTAGGAGGAACTTCATAGAAGTATCAGATTAATGTTGAAGGAATCTGAAAAAAAGAGCAAAAGGACAAAAATTATAGAAAAGAAGTTAAGAGTGTTAAGAAACTCACAGGGTCAGTCCTATTTGAGTAATAGTAGTTCTCAAAAGAAAGAGAAAGAAAATAAAGAAATAATCAGCAAAACGATTCAAGAGAATTTTCTTAGCTAAAGAGCATGATGTTTCCTGACTGGAAAGGAGCCACCTGTGCTCAGTACAGTGGATGGAAGTAGACGCAAATTAAGGCACATTGTGGTGAAATTTCTAATCACCGGGGCCTTACACTTCTTTCGTGCTTCTAGAGAAGAAACATAACTTGTCACATGTAAGGTAACGAATCAGTTGACTTTGAGAGAACAGCATTTAGTACAAATATTTCCATTATCTATTTGGACTTCTCAGTGGTAGCATTGGAAACCAAAAGAAAAATTAAGTATTATCTTCAGAATTCTGAAGGAAAATGATTTCAGTCTTTGAATCTCACATGAATTGAATTTTATATTATATGCAGTGAAGCAATTAATCAAATATAAGAGTAGAATTAAGATGTCTTAAGACACACAAAATTAAAACGATCTACCTGCCTTCTTCACTTTTTAAGGAATCTGTTGGAGTATGTGACACATCAAAATAAGAAAATCAGCCAAAAAAAGAAAGAAATGAGTTGCAGGAAACAGGAAAGTCAATAAGCCAGACAGTGAATAGTTTGGGCTAGAGGGCTACCTGTCCAGATTGGAGTAGATTGGAAACCTCAGAAGAGTCTTCTTCAGGAAAATGAATCTGATAGAAACCTGATGTCATTAAGTATCTTTTCCGAAAAAGTTTTAGACAGCTGGCAAAAGACTCAGGTTGAATTGGTGTTACATATGTAAAGTAATAAGCAAAAGAAAATTCTGAACTCCATGGAAAGCAAATAATCTGTAGGAAAGGGTATGTTAGAATTATAAGTCTTTAGTTCTTCAGCAGAGTCCAGAGTAGCTGATGTTCAAGTACCAATTTACTTCAGTGTTTGGTACAAATATTTTCATCATCTATTTGATTTGGACTGTTATGGTAGAGAAGCAATGTTCTAACAGGGCAGGCAAATCTAGCCTATGGCTTGTTTTTGAATGGTTGATGTGTTTGATTTGCTGAGAATCTACTTTTGCATTTGTGTTGACATGAAATACTGACTGTTACTTTTCTTGTCTTGTGTTGTTTCTGTTTAGTTTTAGTGTCAGGGTAATGTTGACCTCATAGAGTAAGGTGAAAGTTGAGGGGCATTTCCTCCTCTTGTACTTTGTAGGCATTTTGTATAGAATTGACTATTTTAAATACTCCTTCACTGTTTAATACAACTATTCAGAAGCCATCTGGGCTTATACTTTTCTTTGTTGAAAGGTTTTTAAATATAAATTAAATGTATTTAATAAATATAGGACTATTCAAATTATGGGTTTCTTCTTGAGAAACGTTTTAATGTCTGTAGACACTTATAGTGGTATCAGTTCTCTCATTTCTGATATTGGTAGTGGGTTTTCTTTCTCTCTGTCCTAATCATCCTGAACTGAGATTTATCAGTTTTACAGATCTCAAAGAATCAGTTTCAGTTGTTACTCATTTTCTGTATTGCCTTCCTATTTTGTTTCACTTATTGCGATTTTGTTCTTATTTCCTTTCTTCTGCCTACTTTGGGTGTAATTTTCTCTTCTTTTTCTTGTTTTCTTTTTGTAAAGGTAGAGTCTCAGGTAATGTGAGAACCTTCTCTTTTAACATAAGAGTTTAGTGCTATAAATTTTCCTCTAATACTGTGTTAGCTATTTTTCATAATTTTTGGTAAGTAGTATTTTTATTTTAATTTAATTCAAAATACTC